TTAAACATGTTTTCCCACCCTGTAGAAAATTTTATAAAAGCCTTCGCAACTATGAGCTCTTACGGCTATACTTTTAATCTAGTTTACATCCAATCAAAAACTTAGTTTTCCGGATTACGAGACATTTTTGGGGCATCCTGTACACTGAAAGATTCCGATAGAAGGTTTCGCCTCAAACCCTGTTCCCGAAGTTGCTGTACAATCTCAAGCACTGAAATACAAGAAAGACTTACGATGACACGCCAGCAAACAGTCGTCATTCTTTCAAAAATTGTCAAAGATTGTGCAAGAACCAGCTTCAAGTAGGAGAGCCGTAATCAGTTAGAAGAGAAATTATAGCATAATTGACGGAAGAAAGCCAAAATGACAACATAAAATTTCGACGACGATCCAGATGTTTAAAATGACGATCATATTATGAATCAATAGTATTGTGTGAGTAATCCATTTCATCAGAAAATATATTATTACAGTACTCTCTCTCTCTCTCTCTCAATAGTTCTACTCAACAATCATGTTCGTGACCATGATAATAATAATATGTATTTTAAAAGCAACTCTCCTAACATAAAAGGATTATACACATGTTTTATTGTAGAAGGATGTAGTGTGTAAGGAGCAACTGTGTGTTGTTCGTTTGTTAGGAATTGTTATGGGGACTTCATTTTGTAGAAATATGTTCCCCTCATATGTTCCCCTCATGTACCGAACTATTGGGAGAAAATGCTGTGTAATTCAAAAAGACAGCCAATACAATATTCTATACAATATTATATATGTATATAATATACAATATTATTGTAATATGTAATATTAATATACAATATTATTAATATTGTAATATGTAATATTAATATACAATATTATTAATATTGTAATATGTAATATTAATATACATTATTAATATTGTAATATGTAATATTAATATACAATATTATTAATATTATTATATTGTAATTGTTGAGGTGCGTCGTGTGAGCACCTGATATCGTTATTCCGCGATATTAACTATCTATCGGGTTGTAAGGCCGACTACGCTGCGCGACGGGATAGGACGATATCGTTGTCCGTTTACTTAAAAATGAACAACTGTTTTACTTAATAGTTCGTGAATTGATAGACTGAATGAGACGTAGACTAGAGTGACGAGCGATGTTGAACGATATGAACGAGGTTACGCAGGAGTAAAAAATGACTGGACGAGGTGGTCAAGAGTTCTCGTTTTTATATGTTTCTCGCCGAGAGAAAACTTGAAGATCATTGGTTGATCGCGAGGTGGAAAGGGACCTTAGGAGTCCCGGTC